ATCCAAGGTTGTTTGGAACTTATAGGGTGTGTTCTTGCATTGGTTAACTACTTATCCTAGATTTATAATCCAAATTACAGCTGCCTACAGAGAAAGCTCATGTTACTTTCAAACAGTTATTAGTCAATGTAGGTAATTCATACATACACTTATTCTCTCACACCATGACTGCTAAAAAAATTTTCAATCAGGTGATAAAAGTCCGACTCAAGTTGCTTTATTATTGGCATAGTATCTTTTTTTTTTCTTACTGAGTCTCAAATAATGATTACTAATGAATGATGGACACATGAAACACCATTTTTCCATGATTAGAGAAAATTACATGGTAAACGCGAAAATCCTGGTTTCCTTGTCTAACAACACTTATAAAACACGTCATTCTATATGCAAATAAGAGCCAAGAGTCCTTTGAGGGAGGGTTACATATTCTATTCAGCAAATTAAGCATAAACATTCAGAACGTTAAACTTTGAAGTTAGAACATCCACCTTCAGATGCTTTTGGCCGATAGCCATCAACAAATGTTCTTGGAAGAAGCAATAAGTTAGCTTGTGACAATGATAACATTGCCATCAAGTGCAAAACTGATAAGACTTCGTACCAAGCATTGTATATTGCTGTTTCCAGGAAAAATTAATGATAGCGGTAGTTTGAGCAGTCCTCGAAGCAAGGGAACAATTGAACAGAAAGATGCAATTAAGAGGGCAATTCACCTCTGCTTCATCCTCCTGATTGACCCAAACAAACTGTACTTTATGCTGCAATGGGCTTCCTGCATGATGCAATCACGTAATGTTCAGGAATGATATCATCACACCACGTTCAATAACTAGGTACATGCTTACCATCTTTAACCAATCCCAAAAGAACTGATCAATAGTCTTCAAGAGCCTGCAGTAGATCACCCAGTGTAGAACCTCCTGTAGGGAATAGCTGATGCAGCTCAATATCAATTATACTAGAGTAGAGACAACAAAAAATGTCAGTTACATACAAAACTGACTGTGTCGAGTAGCAGTTTTCCATGTTCTTGTAATTGTCGGAGCTTCATGTCCTGTCATAACTACTATTCTGGTTATAAGAGCAGATAGGTGTTCGATTAAATTTCTAGATAACTGATCATCCGGTGACTAAGAGAAATCCACGGGCTTAGGAACCCGCAAGCCTGGGACAAATACAGAGACTTCCCCGATCTCAATTGGGATTGTAATTGAACTTTTAGTTGCACATATCCATATACAAAATGGTTTAGTAGAGCCGTTTATTAAACGTTTACAACTTATTATTAGACCATTAGTTATGAAAACAAAACTCCCAACTTCTATTTGGGGTCATGCCATATTATGTGTTGCGTCATTGGTTAGTAGTAGACCAACTGTCTATTATCAATATTTACCTTTTTAACTGACATTGGGTCATGAATATGATATTTTTCAACTTATAAGTTTTTGGTTATGCTGTCCAAGTCCCTATTTCACTCCCCACAACATACTAAAATGGGTCTCCATTGAAGACTTAAGATTTATGTGGATTTTGATTTACTATCTATTATTAGGTATCTTGAACCTTTAACGAATAATTTATTTACTGTACGTTTTGCAGATTGTCATTTTGATGATATGACTTTCTCAAATTTGAAGGTGAAAAACTAAATCCTAAAAAACAAACTAAAATTTATTGGAATGAAACGACTTAATCTCACTTTGATCTCTACAACAATCAATGTGAGCAAGAGATTAAAAGTCATTCATTTGCAAAGAATTGCAAATCAATTACCTAATTTATTTGTTAATACAAAAAAGTGACAAAATCAAATATTCCAACAAAAAATATTTCAGTAATAATTAATGTCCTTGGAGAATAATCTGTTATAACAAATGAATCTCAAATATTTTAGAAGTGTGATCGATCAGTTGGTTCAAAAGACTCTGTACCTCGAAAAATAGGTACAGGAGAAAAACCAACTAAAAAATTGAAAAAATAACATTAAAAAAGATTGATCAATTAAGAATCACAAGTATCCGAAAACAAATGAGATTTCAATAAATTATATGTTATCCGATAAATTATGGGAACAAAATAATGTTGTTATAGACAATATTTTTTCTTTCAATGTGGCTGTTGATATTATACAAAATGAGGATCCTGAACCACAATCAGTGAAAGAGTGTCAAAATAGAAATGATTGGCCAAAATGTAAAGAAATCATACAGGCGGAATTGAATTCTTTAGAGAAAAGTAAAGTGTTTAGACCTGTAACTTAAACACTTGAAAATGTAATCCCTATAAGATACAAATAAGTTTTTGTATGAAAAGAAATGAAAATAATGAAATCAAGATATATATATATATATATATATATATATCTCAATTAAATTGCAAAGATCATTATATCGATTGAAATAATTTGAACGCATGTAGTATAATCGTCTTAACGAATATTTGTCGAAGAAAGGTTATAAAAATAATGATGTCTGTCCATATGTCTTCATAAAGAAAACAAATATTGGATTTGCAATTGTAGCAGTGTATGTTGATTATTTAAATTTAATTGGAACTCCTGAAGAGCTCAACAAAACTGTGAATTATTTAAAAAATGAATTTGAGATCAAGGATTCTGGGGAAAATCAAATTTTGTTTCAAGTTGCAGATTAAATATTTTTCTGAATGATTATTTGTTAATCAATTAGTATATACAAAAAAAAAAAAAAATTTAAAACGTTTTCATATGGATAATAAATATCCATTGGCATCACTTACAGTTGCTCAATCATTTGATGTGAAAAAGATCTATTATGTCCACTTTAATATGAAGAAAAGGTTCTTGATCTTGAAGTGTCATATCTTAGTGCAATTAAAGCATTAACCTCTCTTGCAAATTGAACTCGATCGACATTGGTTTTTTTTTTTTTTTTTTTTTTTTTTTTTTT